GAATTCTGTTTATTTTTAAAAATAATGTTTATAACACCTCCAAGGATACCTACCTTGGTTGCTAAAATAAGAACACATTTTCATAACAAATGGAGGCTACAATAACATGCAGATATGCAATACTTGTAAGGTATTTGTGATATTCGTATTATTTTTTTGCCTAAAATCGTTAAGTTGGGTGCTAGGTAGACCTTGTGGTTGTTAAGTAGACTTTTTGATGAGTGATGAGAATTAACATCTCACCCAAGGAAGTATCAAAAAGGCGATTAAAACAACTTAGCCGTCAGATAACCAATTCTGATCTACCTGTAGTTGCTTGAGAAGTGTATTTGTTCACGTTAGCTGCATGGCCTGTAATGGTGGTAGCCCAGGAAACCGGTAGATTGACACTTAAAGTGGTGGCAGTCACAGTGCCTGGCAGTTTAGCCATCAGACTCGGTAGCTGATTGGCGCATTCTGTGCTCAAATCGGGCTGATGTGAGAGAAGTAGCGTAGAATGGGAGAGACGATAGAGGAAGAAAAATGAGATAGAACAAAGAGCTTGTGAGTGTTACTGGTATAAATTTGGAGAAAATGTTGAATAATATGCAAAGATTAACTGAATTCAAGCCTGTTCCAGAAAAACCATCTGCCTGATCCATTGTAGTCAGTATAATTAGCACATAAACTATGTGTACTAAATAAATTAAGTAGCAGGTAGTAGAGCAAAAAGCAGAAAGAGAAAACAATAAAAAAATATAATTGAGGAATTTTTCACCCGACCACCTAACTTGCGTTGATTGATGCCATTGCTCACATGCACTGGGACATCATAACCTCAGAGTAGAGACAACAGCAATCTAGCAATTCAGGTACCCTATAGACTTAGATAGTTTAGAATTTGTCTTACCTCGTTTTCGCAACTTAGCTGAGGGCATAGTTGAACGTACCTTCTCCGAAGTCCTCTACTATAATAGATATCATAATTCCCAGCGTTGGAACGTGGAGTTGGTACATCCTCAGAAATTTCGCCGGCATCGTCAGTGAATCTTACCATTCTCAGCACCAAGCTACAAATCGTCAAAGGGACAAATGTGATCAACTCCCTAAACAACTTTCTGCCAAACGGCTGTGTTATCACTCCACTCTGTCCTGACCTATCTATCTACACTCTACCCTCTTATCTCACATTCCAACTCAGGGAATTATGATGACTACCATAGGATAGGACTTCAGACAAGCTAATTAGGTAGCCCTGACAACACAACGAGGAGACTGCGACCAAAATAGAGGCCAAAACATCTTGATATTGATATCTTAATTTAAGTTTTTGTCAACCTGATACATTCTCAATCGTTTCGCTGGCATCATAGTCGGCATCATCAGTGACTTTTGCCATTCGCCGCACCAAGCTAAGAACTCGTCAAAAGAGACACATTTTGTCGAGTGTAATGTAAACAAGTGAGAAGTTGTGATAGGGCGGGAGTTGGATAAGAGGGTAAAGAGTAGATAGATAGGCCAGGTCAGAAAGAGGAGTGATAGTGTAACTGTTTTCGGCAGAAAGTTTGAAGATGGATTAACTTCACTTGTCTCTTTGACGAGTTCGTGGCTTGGTGCGGAGAATGGCAAAACTCAGTGATGATGCCGACTATGATGCCGGCTAAACGCTTGAGAATGTACCAAGTCCACTGTTTGATGGTGGAATTCAC